TTGTACTTGCATGTAATACTAATAGCTATATATTGTGTGTTTAACTTAAAACGCACGGCCACGGTATCATTTTTTAACTTTGTGTTAATTTTTTCTTTAAACATGCATGCATTACATCCTAATAAACTAATGCTACCTATTGGGTATTGTAAAATACCGTTTATACTAAGAACCTACTTTATCCTTTATACTTTTTTCTATTTTGTCAGCTAACAGACCAGTGGATCAATCACATTCTATATATATATATATATATATATATATATATATATATATATATATATATATATATATATATATATATATATATATATATATATATATATATACGTAAATTAAATGACACTTTATAAATATTGCGGTCAAACTGACAACTATAGCTGCATCATATGAGAAATAAAACCTAGATATTGCATGATTTGATGTAGACACAACCTCGTTCCCAGGGCCAATTTCAAAAGAGGGGGAAAGGGGAAATTGGAATTGGCCCTGGGAACGAGGTTGGATGTAGACAGTTACTGAGTTAATAACCCTTCGACATTTTGTCATAAACTTGAACGAGAGCACTTCTTTAATCACGTTGCATTTTTGAAATATGCATGCATGTCCACTAAGTTTCCACACATAACGTTTTTCCTCGTAATTCTCTCGCCAACGTGCAGAACATGATAAGAACTAACTTAGGTCCACAAAGAAACTCGCCCAGTTTTTTTTGGCGTATCTAAATAAGAGCATGCACACAACACACAATTTATTGCAGAAACTTGGCCTTCACTGTAAAGAGGGTATTGAATTCTGTTTTTGGTCTTTGATTATTTTGAACAACATTTTCTTTTCATATGTCATCTTTTTTATTTTCTCGTCTTTCTTCTTAACTTCGTTTTGCAATTCGTGAACTTTCCTTTCAAGTTCAGCTGTTTCGCTTGTTGGCTGAACTATTGGCAGACGGTAGTGCAACGATATTGAGGTGGCTTTTTTCCACGACTAAAACGATTTAAAAAGATTTGTTGTGTTTGACTGGAGTTTATTTAAAGATTGATTCAGAAAATACGGATATTTTATTATTTTCTCGTGTAAAGGGTTGATACATGTTCCACAGGAATTGCACATTACGAAATTGCACATTAACAAACCTAAAACATACAGTGAACACGCAGCAATATATGCCTGCATGCTCCCAGACTGAATTTTAATCTGCGATAGAAAAACATGACTAAACTGGCGCAAATTTACAAATTTCCCATTTCCCTTTCCATACGAAGTCTTTAGAGATTGGAAACACTGGAGACAGGAGACAAAAAGTTGCCGTATAAATATTAAAATATTTAACTCTCCTGTTGTGGGAGGCGTGATGAAAGCATCCGTACCTGTGACCAGAACTTCGTGGCCTTCATTTCGTTGTACTTTGAAAACATCGCGCCACACGCTCTTTTAACTCCCTGATACGCGAGAGAGAAGAACTGACTTACGAAACTCAGAGCCATGGTTATACCCAGAACCGATTGTAGATTGTACTGTACTTTTGCCTTTAGAAACCTAGAAATTATCATATTTTGAGTTCTGTTGAGACATTCAGTTTCTACAAAGCCGCTAACGCCATAACCGGCCATATACTTTCACAATTAATAACAGATGAGAGTCGTATAATACTGATTATGCTTAAACGTTTCCTGGCATTGTTTATCTTATTAACAGTTTATTAAGTTTCTTCCCTTTTCGCGTGTGTTCTGGAAAATTCAATTGAGGAAGCGAGGTGTCTTTATTAACAACCCAACTCTTGGTGCGAATCTGCATGTAAGTGTCTGGTGATGTCATTTGCGCGTTACTCGCTTCCTTGAAAGTTGATCTGCGTCATGAGATATGTACAATAGCTTTGACCATAGTTATAGTGGCTAGATTTGTTAGCCACTGTCAAAAATATCGTTTAAATCTTACCTTGGCTTAGGATTAGTCTTGCTCTCGGTCCCTTCTCACTTTTCCTTTTGCTTTGAGCTTTATCCAATTCTTATCCAAAAATAGATATTTTAACACGATAAACGTCTCACAATTTTAAATTGCGTAAAAAATATCACAATTAATTTACTTTTCGTTTCCTATATTATATATTCTCTCTCATCTACTCTGTCATTGGTTGCTGCACTAATTAATTACTTAAGCTATTAAATTAAATTCCTATATATACACACAGTCACATTCCCGTTTCCATAGTGTCATGCATGCATGAGCGCTAGCGGAAACAATTACTGCAAGTTTTGTGTATATATAACTCTAAAGTACATACAAAAGAAGCAGACGAAATATTTCGCATTTCGCTTGGAAATTTAGCCTGTGGAATTAGGGCTTTATACCACATAAAACTTTCAACATTTCAATGCACTAGCAGAGTTGCAAAAAGAGAGTCAACCTTCCTCCGGTAGGATTTCAAGTTTTGAAAACCTTTCTCAAAATGACGTTACGTCACTGAGTCAAGTGGCAACCAGCATAAAGAAATATTTGGTTTTTTGGCACATGCATGTGATCAATTAGAGTGTGCAACTTTGAACCTTCCTCACAAACCTCGTTCAAAGCAAACCTTCCTCCGGGTGGTACCCGCGTACCCGCAGCTTTTTTGCAACTCTGCGCACTAGTCTCATCAGCAATTGCTGTTTTTATGAATGGCTTATTTAAACAAAGCTTAGAGATACAAATTAACATACAAACTTACAATTTACACGCGGATTATAAAACTATGGGCGTATGGCTGAAAGACAGGGGTTTTTTAAAAAATTTACAGTATAGACAAAGATTTTTTATGGCACCCGCAGAGTTTTCACTGCATGACGCACTGACTGCATGACTGACTACACTGACTGATGTCGAGGAAATTTTGCACTAAAAAGAAGACAATTGACAATAACAAGTTACTAAAAACTGCGGATAGCTCAAAAGACAAAACAACTCGATCTCAACCAACGACAACGTACTGTAGATCTTACAATATTACCAATGCCAGCATATTCACAAGAAAAAGAAAAAAAAAATGTTCTCGATATTTTAAAGTGTTATGCAGCCTAATGCTTTGAGATATAGAAATGAAAATATAAGAGGACCAAGTTAGGCAAAAACTGTGGCAAGAAAGATCGACTCGAACAAACGCGAGTTTGTATAAACTCCTAAGTGACATTTTTGCTTAATTATTAGACATCACACTTACGGACACGACAAAGAGAATTTGCGATGGCAAGTATACCCAATGATATATTTGATGAAAAATATTTCAGCCCCTTGAGAATAGTCCGAATTAAGATTAACCTTGACAGGTCCCTGTCATTGCCACTATAGTCAACAGGTATAACAACCGATCACTTTTAAATGTTATATGACAATGCATGAAGTCTTTGAGAAGTCATTTGCCATAGCTAAAACTTTAAGCTTCCAAAATGTGCTCTAATTCCATTTCCCAGAACGAAAGTGGGTCGAACAATTTCTCACTTCCGACGCAATTGAGACTTGAGACAATTTAGACGACAATCTCACAATAAAATCCTCTAGAAAGTGTATATTCTAGATCCTTCTCATTGAACTGTTACAAAATTTAATCGCTTAGTTATCATCATATTTACTCGTTATAACATTACAAAATGAGATAAGTGATTTATATAGATAAAGTTTGAAATATTATAAAATTGTTTGCATAGTTTTGCTGAAAACTCAATTTCGGACCATGTCATATCTACGATAATAATCAGCTAATATTCGTAATTTGTCATGCAGTCAAGTAAGGCTATTACCTTTCAATATAGATTCTCAAGTCTACTCCAAGCAGTCTTTGGACCTTTAGCCAGACAGATTTTAATCGAAAGACTCGCGATCGCGTTACTGAACCGTACGTATTACTGTTGCCAGCTTACAGCCTTATGCATGTATGGTGAAAAACCCTGCATGGCTCCGCCAATTTTGAACCACATGCAGGTGGGCTGGATGGTCGATGAACTATATTGCTTGCTCGGCTTTTCTCCTACAATAACTATGTTGTTTCCGTCATCCTTAGTTTGATGCGGAACTAAAAGGTGAGCTAAGAAAATACTCATGCTTATATAGAAATAAAAGCCTTTAAAGGATGTGCTTGTTTATGGAAGAGAAGGCACCGATTAATTAAGATTGTGAGTTCGGCCCGATCTTTCTAACCCAATGTCAAGTGTAAAAGAGGAGGATGTGGGTCATCTATATATAAACATGTGGCATTTTTTGAATTCCAGCATCTCCATCCACCGACTAGCTACAAATGTGCCGGCGTCGTGCTGCGAATTTTCCTACTTGTTAAAGTTGTTATGTGTAAATTATTCCAATGCTTTTTAAGTATGTCATTTAGTACGTCAATGTTAACATTGTATAAATAGATACCTCCATCTTCCTTAACATACTCTGTAAATTTTTCTTTATTTAGGTATAAGCCCTGTTCTGCCTTTGGATCGTAGATCATCACATGTTTCTTGTCATTTCTTGTTTTGTCCAAGTCACAAACCACACAATGACCAATCTCATTATCATTTTTATGCCACTTCCCGAGTATTAATACTCGTACACCAGATACCTGAAAAGCCTTGATATCTTCCCATACTTTATTAATCATCTCAATACGCTTGGAGCCTTGGTCATTGTAGTTATAATCTTTACGCTCAGCTATTCCACATTTTGTAACGATGTCCATCAACTGATCACATTGTAAATCACTTGCAGTGATTTTTGTGGCTGCATGCCAAGTCAGAACCTTTTCCAACTGGCGACCACAAGGAATAACTCCTAGTTTCTCTTTGCAAATCCAAAGTAATGTACACAGCACGCAATCATGTTTACATAATTTACCTCCACATTGTAAATGTTCCAGATTTTCGTACCAGTTTTTGTGCCTCAATTTCTCATCGCGATTCGTCGCCATTTTAGCGAGGTCTTCCAATGCATTAACCACTTTTTTATACTCCTCTGTATCTTGAAATTCTGGTATACTGTCGGCACTTTGCTCTGCCATGTTTAGCTTGGAATAATCAGCAGATAAAAGACTAATAAAGGCAATAAACATGATTAAGATTTGTCGATGAATGTTGATCCAAACTAATGATTTAGATTAAAGATTAAAAGCAATAAATACGAACGGAGGATTTAATCCTTGTGTAAAACTAGTCTCAATGTTGATCCAAACCAATAATATTTATTAATGTCAGTGCCAAATTAAGGATTACATATCAGCAATGAACCTTAACCAGACACGTAGGCAAAGTATATACAAGTGAAATTCTCCCGATACTAATTTTGTGATGATTCAAGGGAAATGATGAATTTTATCATGACCTATGAAGATGCTATATAAATATATCTTATTCAGTCGTTAAGTTGTAAATAACCCTATGTTGTATCTTGCTTTAACTGTTAACACAATTTGAATAGGTATGTCAGTATTTGCCATCTGATAAACGATTAAAATTTCACCGATTAAAATAGCCACCATGATTGTTTCCCGACCGCTCTACTGTACTTTATACCCCTCTTCTTTTATTTCAAAGTTGTCTTAACACACTGACATATAGTCAAAATAGGTCCTTGATCAATAAATTGAAAACATCACATATCTATTGAATAGCATAATTTTAAAATGAAAGTGGAATATTTGTGATCAACGTTTTATCACTTTTGTAGCTTTGATCAACGGTTACCCTGCCTCTTACCGTCTTACCAACACAGGGCAATTTCCCCGGAAATTTGGTGAAGTAAAAATATAATAAAATACTTAAATAAGACAAGCGAATTGGCGATCTGAGCGAGTACTTCCGCGTTTCTAAGATTGAACTAAACATCAGAACATACCTGTCGTAATGTCGTTTTGGTTTGATTTTGACTGTGTACTACTTCTCAGCTTACATTCGCACGTCTTCCCTCAAATGTAATTGGAAAATGGCGGGTTCTTATTATATAAGGCGACTCGAAATTTAATGTCGAAACACTAGGATTCAAAAGTGACATACAACTGCTGTACCGCCTGTACGGTCGAACGCGACCTCTCATCCACGAATAAATATGATATCTTTGACATGTAAATTACCATGCATGCACTATGCCATTCATAATCAGTCATAACAAAACCAATCTAGAATTCTTAATAAACCCAACAAAAACTCCAATTTCGAACGATTTTATGCAACATGGGGTTGTTGTTTTTTTGAAAATGACTGGTTTTCGCCCGTCCACGCGTAAACACGAAAACGGCGTTTTCGAAAAGCTCCACTCTGGAGAGCGTGTAATAATAATATTTAATAATATTTAATATTTCTATTGCGCATTTTAGCATCTGAATATGATCAAATGCGGATAGTACGTTAATGTTAACATTGTTTATATAAATACCTCCATCTTCCATGACATACTTTGCAATTTTTTTGCCCGTATAAGCCCCGTTCTGCCTGTGGGTAATAAGCCCATCATGATTTCTGTCATTTCTTTTTTCCAAGTCACAGACGACACAAGGAATTAAGGGCTGTTTCCCCCTGCGTTTTTCTAGTTTGTATACCCACGTATATAATAGTTTAAATTGTTTTAAAATTAAATGATACTTATATGAAATCAACGATTCAATAGATGCATAGGATCGGATTCAGTTGATGATTTGCTGTGTTTTCCCGACAATAAAATTAATTATACAACAACTTAGGTTTTTTATTTTAAACTTTTACGTGCGTGTAGATACGCTCAAAAAGCGAAAAAGTGGAAAGCAACCCTAACCAATCCCACGATCATTTTCATACCACGTCTCCTAAAAAGCCATGATATATATTTTTCCACACTTCATTGATCATCTCAATTCGAATCGACTCTGGGGCGTTGTAAACATGTTGACTACAGGTTATTAAAACAACAACCAATTTCAAAACAACTACCTATAATTTGAGAATTGAGATTGGTTGTCTCAGTAAAAACATCCAAAAAATTCGAGTTTTTAAGTTTTATAATTTTTTTTAACATAAAAAATTGGTACTATTTTCACAGCATATATGCGTATGATAATATTAGCATGAACATCAGCATAATATCAGCAGCATAGTGAATTGTGCTTTGACTGACGAAGTTATAGCTGAGATTGAGTATAATTAAGGTTATATATAAGATATATAAGGATTAAGGTTATATATATAAGATAAGTTATAGGTAGATTTCGCATATATCTTCCAGACTTTATAGTGTTTAGAATGACATGCACTCTAGAACTAAAGCTGCATCATATGAGGAGTAAAATTAATATTGATTGATTAGATATATAGACTGTTAGCAATTTGACATTTCGTCATACACTTAATACTTTACGAAATTATGCCAACCTAATGTTCTACACATTACGGTGCGGAAATCGCAAACCAACGTTCAAGGAAGTTTTCGTAGGATTCATTTGTACGGTGTAAAATGTTACTATACTTGTCGATTATTCGCTTCAGGTTCCCTGTGTTGATGAAGGACAATATCAAACCGTTGGTATTGACGTCATCAATGAATTCTCTGAATTCTTTTGGGCGTCTGTTTTGTGGATCATAAATCTTTACTGTTCCACCTTCCTCCAAATAGCTCACGAAAACATGCCCGATTCCCATTTCGGAAGATGCTCCTAATATGCAGACCCCTTCACCAATACTCTGAAGTTTTTGCTTCACTTCGTCTACCATTCTTTCTTTTTCATCATTGTTCTCAGGAAACTTGTACGAGAGCACTTCTTCAATCACGTTGCATTTTTGAAATATGTCCATCAAGTTTCCACACATAACATTTTTCCTCGTAATTCTCTCGCCAACGTGCAGGGACATGATCAGGACTAACTGAGGACCACAAAGAAACTCGCCCAGTTTTCTTTGGCATATCCAAATAAAGGCACACAACACACAATTTATTGCACAAATTTGGCCTTCATTCTGCAGGGAGAGTATTAAGTTTGGTTTTTGGTCTTTGATTATTTTGAACAATATTTTCTTTTCATCTGTCATCTTTTTAACTTCGTTTTGCAATTCGTGAACTTTCCTTTCAAGTTCAGCTGTTTCGCTTGTCGGCTGAACTATTGGCAGACGGAAGAACAACGACATCGAGGTGGCTTTTTTCCACGACTAAAACGATTTAAAAAGATTTGTTGTGCTCGACTGGAGTTTATTTAAAGATTGATTCAGAAAATATTTTATTATTTTCTCGTGTAAAAGGTTAGTACTGATGGTATAATATTGGGTATTTTTTCCGCGTAATTTTGGGCGGGGGTCACCCTCAAATATTTCACAGGAGTGAACAAATGATACGAAATAGCACATACACAAACCTAAAACATACAGGTGAACACATACTGCAATATAGAAAAACATGGCTAAACTGGCGCATTCCTAATGAATTTCTCAGTTACAGATTTCTCATGTCATTTCCATACGATGTTGAAGTCTTTAGAGATTGGAAACACTGGAGACGGAAGACAAAAAGTTGCAGTATAAATACTAAAATATTTAACTCTCCTGTTGTTGGGGGCATGGGTATAGCACGCGCCATGCACGCGTTCTCGGTTGTTGCATGTTTTTACAAGAAGCATGTGACAGTTGCGTTGTTATGCTGCCATTGGTCCGTCGTTATACGGTAGCAACAAAACATAGATGAAGGCATCCGTACCTGTGACCAGAACTTCGTGGCCAAATTTCCGGTTCGAACCCATTCCTTCATTTCGTTGTACTTTGAAAACATCGCGCCATACGCTCTTTCAACTCCCTGATACGCGAGAGAGAAGGGCTGACTTACTAAACTCAGAGCCATGGTTACTCAGAACCGATTGTAGATTGTGCTGTACTTTTGCTTTTGAAAACCTAGAAATTATCAGTTTGGTAAAAATATTTTGAGTCCTATTTAGACATGCAGTTTCTATAAAGCTGCTAACATATATGCGTTACGTCATTTTACAAGTCAGATACGAACTATATCGCACTGCATGTTGTGATGTTAAATATGAGTCAACAGCTATAGCAACCGATCACATTTAAAAAGTTGTACGACAATGCATGCATGAAGTCTCTGAGGAGGTCATTTGCCATAGCTATACAAGCTTCCTTGCGAAAATATAAACAAAGGCTAAAGTAAAACGAAAGAATATATTCTAGATTTTTCTCTTCATTGAACTGTCACAAAAATTTTATTTCTTTAATTATCGTCACAAAATGAAATAATAGATTTATATAGATAAAGTTTGATAGATTTTAAACAATATATTATAAAATCGTTTGCATAGTTTCGCTGCATGACAACTCAATTTCGGAACATGTCATAACTATGGTAATAATTGATGTGGGTCATGCAGCTATAGCTATATAAACATGTGACATTTTTTCCTCGTAATTCTAGCGCCAACGTGCAGGAAGACGATAAGAACTAACTTAGGACCACAAAGAAACTCGCCCAGTTTTTTTTGGCATAAAAGCACATAACACACAATTTATTGCAGAAACTTGGCCTTCACTGTAAGGAGGGTATTGAATTCTGTTTTTGATCTTTGATTATATTGAACAACATTTTCTTTTCATTTGTCATCTTTTTTATTTTCTCGTCTTTCTCTTTAACTTCGTTTTGCAATTCGTGAACTTTCCTTTCAAGTTCAGCTGTTTCGCTTGTCGGCTGAACTATTGGCAGACGGTGGAGCAACGATATTGAGGTGGCTTTTTTCCACGACTAAAACGATTTAAAAAGATTTGTTGTGTTTGACTGGAGTTTATTTAAAGATTGATTCAGAAAATACGGATATTTTATTCTTTTCTCGCGTAAAAGGTTGATATATGTTCCACAGGAATTGCACATTACGAAATTGCACATTAACAAACCTAAAACATACAGTGAACACGCAGCAATATATGCCTGCATGCTCCCAGACTGAATTTTAATCCGCGATAGAAAAACATGACTAAACTGGCGCAAATTTACAAATTTCCCATGTTACTTTCCATACAAAGTCTTTAAAGATTGGAAACACTGGAGACAGGAAACAAAAAATTGCAGTATAAATATTAAAATATTTAACTCTCCTGTTGTGGGTGGCGTGGGTAGCACGGGTCATGCACGCGTTTTCGGTTGTTGCGCGCATGCAACGGGAATGTTAATTTACAAGAAGCATGTGACAGTTGCGTTGCTATGCATTGGTCCGTTATTATCGGTTAGGTCGGAATAACTACCACCGTAGCTCCAAAACATAGATGAAGGCATCCGTACCTGTGACCAAAACTTCGTGGTCAAATTTTCGGTTCGAACCCATTCCTTCATTTTGTTGTACTTTGAAAACATCGCACCACATGCTCCTGTAACTCCCTGATACGCGAGAGAGAAGAACTGTCTTACTAAACTCAGAGCCATTGTTATACCCAAAACCGATTGTAGTTTGTACTGTACTTTTGCCTTTAAAAACCTAGAAATTATCAGTTTGTTAAAGATATTTTGAGTTCTGTTGAGACATACAGTTTCTATAAAGCCGCTAACACCATAACCGGCCATAGTTTCACAATTAATAACACATGAGAGTGGTTAAACGTTTCCTGGCATTGTTTATCTTATTAACAGGGCTTATTAAATTTCTTCCCTTTCTGGAAAATTCAATTGAGGAAGCCAGGTGTATTAACGAAGTGTCTGTTAATACCAAACTCTTGGCGCAAAAGTGTCTGGCGATGTCATTCGCGCGTTGCTCGCTTCCTTGAAAGTTGATCTGTCGTCATGACATGTGTACTATACCTTTGACGCAGTAGCATAGTGGCTAGATTTGCTAGCCAGTTGGCCACTGTCAAAAAATATCGTTTAAATCTTACCTTGGCTTAGGATTATTCTTGCTAGCAGTCCCTAATTCTCGCTTCACCTTGTACTTGGATCTTAATCTACAGGGTGTCTCAAAAAAAAACATGCAAGTATATATGCAAGAATATTACTATTGTTCGGGTT